CGGTGGACTCTAACCTGGAGAACCAGCTTTGATTCCCCACTCCTCCTCCACATGAAGCCTGCTGGGGGGCCTTGGGCTAGTCACAGTTCTCTCAGAACTCTCTCATCCCCACTTGTCTCACAAGGTGCCTGTTGTAGGGAGACAAAGGGAATATGATTGTAAGTTGCTTTGAGACTTCTTAGGGTAGAGAAAAGCGGGGTATAAAAACCAACTCTTCTTCTTCTTTGCTCATTGTTCATTTCACTGGGGGAGCCTGAGCAAGGCTCAGCAAGGTTCCACACTGTCCTAACAGGCTCTAACCTCATGTTCTGCCAGCTAAGCACCACTCTTTAGCTCCCAGGTTCTGCCCCGGGCAACCCCAACCGTCGTCACACTGAAGCCAAATAGCTTAGAAGCACAGATTTGAAACTATTAAATACATTCAGTTGCTAAACCTAAGTGTTGGAGAACTCTCCTCAGCCCAAACATCATCTCCAAAGGAAGAGTCCTTCAACTGCTTAATAAACCATTTGTGTTTCTGTGCTATGTGGCCTTTCAAGCAGATGTTGTGGAAGGAAATTCCCAGTGCAACTGTTCTGTAGGCTGAGCTATTTTCATTCTTTTCTGATGAAAGATCTGACAATGGAAGATTGATGAATTTTGGTCTTGGCCAGTGTTTTAGTCTGTTTCAGCAGCCTCCCCCTGATACTGGGGGGGGGGCATAGTTGCTGAGAGAAATGTGGTGGGAAAGTCTGAATGACCACTGGGGACCCTTTGGGGGGGGGGATGGACAAACAGTGCTCCGAGAACTGCCAACAAGTCATCGATGGTTTCCTCCAGTGTTTAGTCAGCAAGTGTTGCAGAGGGCACCGTATGTAAGTGCTACTTGGGCGAGGTCTCTTTTGCACCCTTATCTGAGGTGATAAAGAGCTTGGTGCCATGGCGAGCTCAACCGGCTGCTCACATTGGGTTCTGGAAGAGGAGTTCACTGACGTGGGCCACGAAACACACAATGAAATAAACAAAGGCTTAAGGAACCGTTTTATAAGGATAGTAAAAATAACTCCTGGCTATGCTTTGTTTCCATGCTGACGGTATAAAAATATAGTGCATGGCTGAAGCACATTCCCTTCCAGGAAAAGCTTACTCTGCTGATCAATTTATTTTTAATATCCTCCCCCGATGACATCCACGGCACCTTTGTGGCAATGGACAAGATGTCGTATGATGGTTTCCTCAAGAAAGCTCAGGGCCTTGGGGGATCCATTGTAGAGCCAATCATAAGAGCCCTCCCACCAGTTCATTATCATATTGTTCTCAATGGTCACTTGAGATCCTGGCTCACTCTGGGTGGGATTGGATTAGAGAAGCCCTGGAACAGTTGTGGCCGGGGGACTATAGGTAGTC